CCCCCCAAGAATGTTTATGTGACATTATCTGCTTAATTAACATTTCCATCATATCAAATATCATGGTCCGGTGTATCTAGGTGGATCGGGTTAAGATGATTTAACCCACGCATTGTCAGCTAAAGCTGCGTTCTCTGTATTTATAACGTGGGCTCATATAAAAAGGCCCTAGCTTAGTTACTAACGATAATATATAAATACATCTAATCAAATCTAATAAACGTTTGTATACTGAATAGTTGAGTGTGTGTGAGTTACGTAGTGTAGTTACACCTTATTTAATTAAATTCCTCATCTAAATTTTATATTCAAATATTATAGGAAACCTGACTAGTTTAGCTTTAAAGTTATTTCAGGTTTCCTGTCACTATTATTGTTGTCTGTTCAAACTCTATGTATGCTCGTATTGTAACTTCTAGTGTGAATAAATTTTTTGTTTTGTTTTTTGTTTGTTTTGTTGATAAAGGCCCCACGGCCCCACACAATATAAAAGATATACAATATACAGTAAATTTCTCTCCTAAAATAATACTAAATATACTTAATATACTATTTCTTTCTTAATTAAGACCCCAAATTAAATAAAAAAATCTTGTTAATTCTCAGGGATTCTCGTCAAAATTAGTTGTAACTTCTATCGACGGATTTGCTATGCACTGATCTGCATGCGCTGTGAACATCGAGGTCAACATAATTAATCCGCGCTACTAGTCCGTTATTTAAGTCGGGTCTATATTGTTTTACACTTTTATGATATATGATATATCAGTAATATCACATAAATACGCTATATATGCATGTTGTACTTGTGATCTCATAATTTAAATAACATTTTGAAAATATTATTTTACGACTCAAAAATGCAACCCAAGAGTTGTGGGAATACAAAATAAGACTTACCTGATTTCAATTCCTCGAACTATCGAAGCCATCGTTATACGAAGTCAAATTACGCACAGTTTCGCTAGTTGTTTATATTTAAACGGTTAATTGTTATACTGAAGCAATTTCCCAGCACAACCGCATATATAACCTAAATAATGTAAGTGGACTTATGCATGCATGGATTCAGTCCGCGGAGTGGACTGGACATGGATTCAGTCCGCGATTTATGGACTGCGAGTGTCCGAGTCTATATATATATATGATTTGTAAAACATGGACTGAGTCTATATGATTTGTTAAACATGGACTTAGTCTACGTTGTACAAATCACAGACTCAGTCCATGTTTTACAAATCACGATCTCAGTCCATGGTCTACAAATCCCAGACTGGTGAGTCCATCTTTTACAGAGTCCATGTTTTCCGAATCCATGCAATCGGTTTTTTTAAATTAATAGGCAAATATCATTTCGGCAGGGCGCATTTTACTACAAGCGTTGGATACATCAAGCAGGACGCTGCACCGTCTTTACCAGTCTTTGTTTGTACTGCGGTAATGCTTCAAACATTTCCGTAAGCAGGTTCCTTTTCACTTTTAACTTCGGCTTGATTTTCGGAAACTATTATGATATCGTACAAACAAACTCTTTGTCGTCGGCTCCTTGAGATATTGGATTCAGAATTTTTAATAGTGAAATGTTACAACGTTTGGTATAAAAAATGTCAATCACAATGATCTGTTATTAGAACAGGATTTAAAGGTGGATTTTTAATAATAGTTAATTTATGTATTCTTAACACTTTAAATTTAAAACAAACAGCCAAACGAAAAATTACGCATCATTACACCGGAATGCGTCAACAGTCAATATCGTGCAGATTTACATAACTTTGAGGGAACGTTTCTCCCAGAAATTTTTTTAAAAACCCATTCGCAGGCTAGAACCCATAGAGAGGCCCGCGGAGGAGGCTAGCCTTAAAAACATATTTCAAACGCATGTAATTTGATTACCAACTGAGAAGTTCTAAGATGGCGATTTGCATATTGGGGAAATCCCCTTTGCAGGCAAGTGTTGCCTGCGCAGCCGACCCGAAATAAGGGCCTGCAAGAAAACGCGGCATTCGTGACTGAGAACGACTAATAAATAGAACTCTTGAAATAAAGTTTTTCTCTTATTAATATTTATCTAGTTTAGCTAGTCAGGCTCTTTGTACGTTGCCGTTGGCGATATATACGCATGAGAAATTGAAAAACTATATACTTATTTAATAATGCCTAGTATATTGTATATATAAAATCACTTATCGAATATAAAGTTAAATCAATATTAAATGAAATTAATATTCGAACAAAATTAAGTCACCCGGTACAGTACCTTTCATGGAATTGAATAGTAATATTATTATATCAATGTATATAAAAAAAGTATACCATGCATATAGAAATCCAGAAATCCGTTTACGTCATCATGTCTTACTATTAGTGTTATTATGCTGTCAAGTAATGGCCAAGTGATGTGGTTTTTGTTATACTTATATATAACAAGCTAGTAATGTGGTTTTTGTTATACTGATATATAACTATATTAATGTGTTTTTTGTTTTAACAAGTAATATGGTTTTTGTTACATTTTATTATTAGTTGTTTTAAGCAACATATGGTAATTAGTCACACGATGAAATGAGAAACAATGAAATGAGTCCCTATGCGACTGTGATTTATACCGCCAACATGCCATACTAATGAATTGAAAGTTAAGTCTGGAGTAATCGCTATGTCGCATTGACGCATTTTACGCCAGATTTTCAAGTGTTTGATAATATACACTTGTGGACAAAATCTGCATCGCGATTACACTCTTGCACTCGATTGCACTTTCTCCAATTGCAAATCGCGCGAATATAAAACTGAGCACTGATCTCATACGTCTACTACGCGAATTTGTGCACACATATGTACAATATATACGGATTTATATACAATTTACGAGCTACTGTAAATATTAGGGATCGTACGTTTATAATTTCAATCGGGTCTGCTTTAGTACATGTCACAGCGTAAATTGGCTACTTTATATTTTAATACAAAGATTCCAGTCACTGAGTGGAATTGCGCAGGCGACAACGCCGACAATATCATTTGAATAACATTGGTTTTAAACTCTTGAGGATATTAAAGGACTCAAAAATGCGAGGCAGAGTTGTAGGAATACAAAATTAACTCTTACCTGATTTCAATTTGTCCGGCTATCGAAGCCATTCTTGCGAAGTAATATTTAGTGAAGGTTCACTCTATGACTATAGGTAAAGCTTATCACCAAGTGTGTAACTAAACATGATGACTCCTCGTCCTTTATAATATTCTTCCTCACGTTCAAAAACAAATGCACAGATTTTAAAGCTTTCTCATTGGTGGATTCTAACTGCATGGACGGATTTGCTGCGATGTGAATGATGTATGATGTGTGACATATATACATTATTTGGTTTCCTGCTGAGGACAGGAATTAAGCCAGATGACAGATGTGCGGTTAGTTAAATTAAAGTGACCTCTCAGCGAATTCTTCCTGTTATTAAACTCGCCAAATATCGGTTGTTACACTTGAAAAGGAATATTACCTGGTCTTATCTATTTTAATTTACACTTACAGGTTAAGAATATTTAAAGTTTTCAAGCCATATATAAACCAGTCATATTTATAAATTTATAAACGCAAACTGCGCCTATACGCAGGCTTGGGAAGTGCAAGGAATTTAGCAGGAAATCGGGGACTTAGTGGACGCCATTTACTCCTTCGGTATGTAATGGCGAATTATAGCAGGGAAGAGTCTAAGTCAGTACAGCCATATAGGTACAACATTGACGTATGAAATACATATCACATATCAATGATATCACATATCAGACACAATTACTAAATGTTTCACATTTATTTGCAGCCTGGACGAGTGGTCACTCTTGTTCAAGATGAAATGGTAAGAATTTATGTGCACTTGTAATTTCAATGGGGCGGGCGGGGGGCAAACGTCCCCCACGTTCACGTAACAAGAAAAATCTGGAAAGAGTAAAACTCAAACTGCCATTAATTTGAGTTTAAATTGCAATTTCAGTAATTTAGAAGATTTCGTAATCCTACACCACAGATTGTCGCGGATCCTAGAGCCTCCTTGCCAGGCAAATAGTAATTTGGTTTTGTTTGTTGTTTGGTTTGTCCCCCCCCCCCAGACAAGTAAAACAACAAAAGGGGCTCACTGGGGTGCATTTCAGCTTAATGAGTTAATTAACAAAGAACTTTTTGTCTTAGGAACACGTGACTGGAGTGTCTTTCAAAGTGGATAGCGAAGACAAGGACGAAGTCATCAAGTATTTAGACTACCGGGAAAAAGGTGGCTACCGATTGGCTGAAATGTTATTCCACCCTGTCGACAATTGTCGCAAACCGTACAATGTTCTTGTCTATACGGCTACGAAAGATAACCCGAATTACTTAGGGCCTGCCCCTGAGCAGGAAATCGCAAAACAAATTGTATCGTCTGTCGGACCAAGTGGGCCAAATTTGGAATATTTTAACAAACTGGTTGAAAGCCTAGAAAAACTTGGCGCATCGTATGTCGACGATCATCTAAGAAGCATCAAGAATTACATCGACAATAATGACAAAGCAATTTAATATAATTTTTTTATTGTGCGAATTGGAAAAATTGTGCTGGGTGTAATTGTGCTATTTTGCTATTATGATGTAAATTAAAGTAAAAACAATGTACAACTTATACAACATTAGGTACAAGTATTTAATGATTGAAAATTGAAATTCCTAACAGTCATCAGATTGGGGCGAGGGGAAGGCTCTTGCAATTGTCCCACCAGAGTTCACTGGTCCCCACCATTGGTCCCCACTTCTCCCCCCACCCCTAGATTTGCCCGCATATTAAAGTCGTGGGTGGAATTGATTACGAATGGTAATCTTTAATCTTGTACGTAATTATTGTAATCCCTCGAACAGCTGGCTATTTTTATACTGTTTTCATGCAACATTTGCAAAATCTGAAACGATTTTCCACTCCAAAAGGGGGCTGTTTTAACTAAAGAGCTATTTAAAATGGTTTACTTTTTTGAAATCTCTCGCAAAGAACCGATCGAAGATTTTTACGAGCTGGGACGCGAGCTTGGCAGGTATGATCTTTCTATATTGAATATATACATAAGGCATAAAATGACTTGCTGTATGATTGTATACTGACAATAATCGTTATTTCTCTCGTATTTTAGAGGCGCTTCATCGGTTGTAAAGCTTTGTACTCAAAGGGGAACAGCAAACGAATACGCTGTAAAAATCATCAAGAAAAACGTACGTGATATTGTTTCTAAAATGTCATTTTAAAGCTACTGTTTTGGGATATACAAAAAGTTAATGTTTCGCTCTGAATGCCAATTATTTACCGACCAATTTCGGGGTTTTAACAAGCTAATTTTGCGGTTAAGGATGTCGAAGACTTAAAATAAAACGTTCTTAAGTACATCGCGGTTTACAAAATGTACTCTTGACAAGCAAATGAACACGAATTGTGAAGCAGGAAGGACGCCATTTGTCACTAGGATACAAAACAACACTCGCACAGTACGCGGAACAGTCGAGAACAAACGAAGCGAATTATAAAATGTCTAAACTATAAAATTCACAGCATGGTTGCGTGTTTCGGCCGAATAATGATGTATGTATCTTCAATGATGTATGTATCTTTTGGCTACATTGCCAACGCTGTGATTCAAGTCTTCTATATAGGCAATTTGGACATTTTATGATTTGGCAAATAACCCAGATGGGGGAATGCGCTCAAATATATTTTTAAAATGGCCTCAACCTTTGAACCTGGCAAACCAGCTGGTGCACAGTATTGGCACAGAATAAGGCACACAGAAGGTCGACTCGAGTAACCGCTGACACGCCATGATTCATCATCAAAATGCTGACGTCATGGTCCTATCCAGTGCGCGTTTGAGAGGCATTCCCCCCTGTACGTCCGCCATTTTGAATATTATCAGGGGGGTGAATGCCTCTCAAACGTGCACTGGCTAGGACCATGGCGTCAGCATTTGATGACGAATTACAGGTTACGCCAAAATCATAGGAAAAACCAAGAAGTCGGCCTTCTGTGTACCCTATTCTGTGGTATTGGCTATGCTGAGGTCTGACTTTGTCACAAGTCAATATAAACATTGCTGTCACCAGCTGCTACGTTTGTTACCCAGTGTGCTTGTATTAGCTTGCCAACTTAAACGTCTAAGACAAGCCCACCTCAGTTTAATTGATTTTTGGGGTGACAGTCGCTCTGTGCACTTGGCTGGGAACGGGAGTGGTGTCTCTGTAGCTTACTGGTCTACTACTAGTGTGTTACACCACAGACATTCATTCCTTTGAATGTATGTGGCTATGGTTGCACATGAATCACAGGCACAGAGTAGATATATACAGAGCTGTAACTGGCTGTTGTAAACACTGTGGAAACTAACGTTTTCATGTACCTACTTTCGTTCAACCGACCAGGCAACAAATGATCAACTGCGTGTGATCGGCAAGTTCCGTGAGCAGTTAAAGCGAGCTGCTATCCAATGGGATGCATGCATCTAGTAACTTCTACCAGAGGGGCCAGTCTTTATTGTTCCTATCAAATATTAAAATTCTTATTTTTCTCAGGTTGAAACAAAGATTGTTCGGACAGAAATAGGAATATTGTTGAGACTTAAACACCCTAACATAGTAAGTTTATATATATAGAAATGTTGATTTTCTAGGATCTGGCTTGAATTTAACAATAATGCATATTTCTGATCTCACTGTTATTTAGATCCAGTTGAAAGATTTATTTGAAACAGACAGCCATCTTTATATCATCCTTGAACTTGTTAAAGGTGGAGAACTGTTTGAAAGGTAGGCCTTACCCTTATTTAAAGGTTTGTAGTTACTTAGCAACATACACAAAGGGGAAAATAACTAGGGGAAAATAACTAGTACAGAGCTCGAAATAACGTTCCCGATCACGGTGATTGGCAATCACAACTTTTTGCCAATCAAATCAAAATTTGGCCATTCAGGAGCATTGATACTGGAAATTTCATGTACCGGTACTGCTGGTATGAAGTTTAATACTGTGTGACTTCTATTTGTTTCAAGAGTGGTTGAAAGAGGTTGCTATACCGAAAAAGATGCATCAGCTGCTGTTCGAGAGTTGTGTGAAGCAGTTGCAGTAAGACAATTGTGTTGTATAAATTAGCTTCATTTTACAATATTTAACCTGTTAGGTTGCATTATATTACAGGCTGTTAGAACTTTGTTATATTGCTAGTTTAGGCCTAAAAAAATACCTGTGGTTCCAGTTCGTGACGACCCAATTTTTTTCTGCTGACCCTATTATTTTTAAAACACGATTGACCGTGTGACCCTAGTTCTGCTATTTGAAAAGGGAGTTCTGCTATTTGAAAAGGGAGTTTTGCCATTTAAAAAGGAAATCCTGCTATTTGAAAAGGGAGCTCTGCTATTTGAAAAGGGAGTTCTGCTATTTGAAAAGGGAGTTTTGCTATTTGAAAAGGGAGTTCTGCTATTTAAAAAGGGAGTTCTTCTGCTTGAAAAGGAAGTTCTGCTATTTGAAAAGGGAGTTCTGCCATTTGAAGAGGGAGTTCTGCTATTTGAAAAGGGAGTTCTGCTATTTGAAAAGGGAGTTCCGGCATTTGAAAAGGGAGTTCTGGTGGTTGCGGGCTGCTAATACAGCATGTCAAAATGGCATCTGTTGTCACACTACAGTAATTACTGAACCAAATTGCCTAAATTGGTCCATAGGAAATACACATCTTTAGGCCTTACTTCAAACTGCTTTTGACCTTTTTAACAGTATCTTCATGAAAACGACGTTGTGCATCGTGATTTAAAGGTATGATGTTTATAGTTTTTGCCAATTCACTGCCTCATGTCACATGTTACTCCATCTAACACCATGAATTTTAAGAAAAGATGACTAAGGCCAGTGTCAAACGTGGGACTTTTCATGCGCTGAACCTAATGCAAATGAAGTGAAACAAAGAACTTAGCTCACTAACATTAGATTCGGCGCATGAAAAGTTCGACGTTTGACCCTAGCTTAATATTGCACATTCAAGGCTTGATCAATTTAAAATTTTATCTTCAGCCAGAAAATCTTCTTTATGCAACTGATACAGATGATTCAATTCTAAAGTTGGCTGACTTTGGCCTGTCAAAGATGTTGACGACAGACATACTGATGCAGACGGTCTGTGGTACGCCAGGATATTGCGGTATGTTGAGGGACAATGGGACATTACATTGTCTCAATAGGCTTGGCCCTGGAGGATCTTGGCTACTGTGGTCATAAGGTTCATTTGCATTAGTCTTGCAATTTTGATACATGTCAATAATTAGATGAGTTATGGATGTTTTCAGTGTACGTACTTTCATCTAAACATTCATAACTCATCCACTTGTTCACATCCATCGGAGGGAGAAAATCACACTAAAAATCACAAGAAAAATTGTAAGTCTTGTTGATCAGTGGCTGGGAAACTCCGCTCATGAGCGTGACAAATTATGTTCATTTGAGTCAACTAATAATTGTGTTGTTCAGGGTTAGTAAGCTAGCTCAAGGTATTATGTTGACTTCTTTATAGCACCCGAAGTTTTAATGGGTAAAGAATATGGCCGCGAAGTCGACATGTGGGCAGTTGGGGTCATTGCGTATATTTTGTAAGTATTGTATATTAAAATTTATATATATCGGATGGATTATCTGTCAAAACTGATAAAAAATTATATAGTTAAAACCAAGTATTTTGTCAGGCTTTGTGGATTCGAACCATTCTACGATGAACGAGGCGATCAAGCAATGTTTCAGAGAATTTTGAAATGTGAGTTTGAATTTGTGGAACCTTGGTGGGACGATATCTCGCTCAGCGCCAAGGTAACTACCAAATTTATAAAGCTTTGTGCCTTGGTCTTTAACGTGAGAAAGAGTTGCATTAGGGCATTAGAGATTTCTTTAATGCGTTACTATCAAGAAACGCAGACCAAAACTGTAATTATATGTGCTTAGAGATAAAGCCGAACAAGGTCTTATGTATCAAAATTTCTAGCTCTGCAGCACAAAAGAAGATGAAGAATTTTTACCTTTAAATACTATTGTTAATAGACTTTCTTTAAGTAACATTTTATCATGTTGACTTATATGTCTTAGTTGTATCTCTAATTAGATTTATATATTACCATCCTCAATACTTTTTGCGATAACTCGGCAATTCAGTTCTTGTAACTGTGAGAGAGTTTGAACAAACATTTAATTTCGTTTATTTCTACAGGACTTGGTGAGCAAACTAATTGTTTTGGATCCAGCAAAGAGATTGACAGCGAAACAAGCTTCACATCATCCTTGGGTTCAAGTTAGTTTCCCTATATACTTCTTGATATACTAAATATTAAGTACAAATCTACAAACAGCAATGAATATATAAACCATTCTATATCATTTCCTTTGGGGTGTTTGGAAAACTGTGGTTAGTGCTTCTCCCTTTCATCGCATGTATGTAGGTTCTCTTGAGCTGTAAGCTGCGTATGGGGAAGAGTTTTTTCAATCAGTTCGCCTCCACCAAATGCCCAAGATTTTCTCTCTGTTTTATCTGTTCCTATGAGCAATAACACTGGATGACCTGGATCAGTAAGCGGCGACATTTGTTATAGAGCTACCCAGTTTAAGCAAAGTTGAACTAAGTTTTTCTCTGTAGAAACAATAGGGTATTATTCTTAAAATTCAACGGCGCACCGTTTAAAATTGATAGAACCATATGGAATAAATGAAAGTATAAAGTAGTTTAGGTTTTGCCATGGTTGTAGACCTGTAGGGGATGACTTTTACTGGACCTCTTGGGAAGGCAATTCTACAGAACTGATTCTTTTAAAGCTGCTCAGTATAGATAAAATTAAGTTTTACAACATTTATGGTTACTCCGAACTAATTCATTTCATATGTTGATATGTTTTCATTTCATATGTTATGTTTTCATCCATTTTTAAATACCCTTTGCAGGGCAAGGGCGCCAAGTTAGACCACATGGGAAAAACACAGGAGAAATTAAAAGATTTCAACGCCAGAAGGAAGCTCAAGGCTGGAATGTATGGTGTTATGGTTGTTCAAGACATGACAGTCAGGGCTGGCAGGCGGGCAAGTGCTGTCAAAGACGAATAAAAATGAATTTGTTTCCAAGTGCCACTATAAGCCCAACGATGACTTTTTGGTGCTTGTAATTTGTGGGTCATTTTGAGAAAAAATGCATGATATTTTTCTGTGGTAGAAACCTCTTCTTAATCAACTTGAATTTTTAGCAGCAAAAGAAACGAAGGAAAACTAGTTTGTAATTCATCTTATCACAGGAATTTTTTTACAAAATCGTTAATGGTTTTGATCAAGAGGAGTAATGAGGTTCCTTACTATTGAAATATCGCGCATTTCTTTTCAAACTGCCGCAAATATTACGAATGTCGGAAGTCATATTTGGGATAGTCAGCTGCACTTTATTTTTACGTGGAAGCTTCAACGAGAAGAGTCAGAATACTGCTTGACACCACAAATCGGCAATGACATAATTTGTAATGTTGGCTGCGCATTCAAAAAATACGCGAAATATTTATTTTTAACTTATCTACGAAGTAATTGCGCAGTCCATAGGGAATGGCCGGTATGATGTGGATCTCGACCAAAGTCATTCCCATCTTTTTTCATGTTTATGTGCGATTGTTATAACAGTATGTATTTGAATTTTTCTGTGTTGGTGTTGTGTACTCAGGTGAATAATATGTTTGCGATGTTACTCTGAGTGCATATCCACACCGGGCGAGCTTGAAAAATATGCTCGGCCACGGTGGGATTCGAACCTACGACCTTTGGAATACTAGCCCATAAATATCTTTCTTTGAATGAGGCAGGGCTTTTTTAGAAGGGGATTATTTTTATGGTATATGCGCACAGATGCACTATCCAGCTCAAC